TGACATGCATCACATGGAACTGTCCTGGGAATTCTTTGGGATATGCAGCCTTAGCTGTTTGGCTGATCACCACATACAGCAAGGTCTGTACATGTTCCTGGAACATTTGCATACCAAAGAAATAAGGAATAAAGTTGTTCCAGAGTCAGGCAGAGCTTTTTTTCAGGGTAGATTTGGAATTTAGCTACCTGARGGGACAATCAGACAGTGTTGAGTTACCTCACTTCTCATATAGGATCTTTTTTTAAAAAAAAAAAAAAATCTTTAAAAAAAAAAGATATCATAGCAAGATTGATACTATATACGGTTGAAGACAGCCTGGAACAGGGTAAAAAGTTGAGCCTTTCCCAGGGAAAGGCCCTTTGTGACAAGCAGGATCACTTGTAACCTATGCCCACTGGATACTCTGATGAAGGCTGATGCTCATCAGGTGGGAAAGCTACACAGACGAAAAAAAAAAAAAACAAAAAACTATAAAGCAGAGCCAGGCAACCTTGGAAGGGGTTCTTCATGCTTGGTTTTGGAAAGGACTCATGCTGGTAGGTTCTTTTCTTCTATTTCCTCTATGTGTGTTCTCTTCAAGATAGGTATTTTCTTGAAAGAAACTTTTTTTTTTCCCCCCCCCAGGTTTTATTTGTTACTTATAAGATGTTGGTAGTGTTTTGGACAAAGAGATACTTGAAAGGGGACTGTAAGCTTATGTGTGACTTGRCTTAAACTGCATTTGTCTTCAACTTTAGCTGAGGTTATATGCCTTTATTTAGTTAAAAGGAAAGTACTATAAGGCACTACAAGTAAATCAATAAGCGGGTAGCTTAAATAAAGTGTATGTATTACTTTGTGTTTCTTTCTTCCATCTGTAAAGAATTGTACGTGGATAACAAATTATTACTCATTCACATTTAGCAAAGCACAAAAAATCAGGCTGATTTGGAGTTTAACTCAACATACTGCTGTTTCTATCTTTTTGCACCTTTATATTAAATTGAATGACTGGCTTGGACTAGATTGGAGCATCTGGGTTCTCAGGAAATATGGCCCTCACTCATGATCATGGGGACCAGACCTGCTCAGGGCTCCTTTGAGAGGGAGTCCTTCAGCACCTGAGCTGCCCCTCTGTGATCACAGCCCTGCTCCTCACTGCAGGGAAAGAGCAAGGGCCACATCTACATGACCAGTGGCCAGATTCTCCCATTAATGCCTCGATGAGGGACTTCTTTCAAAGTCAACATCATGAATCTCATCAGAGACATAAGAGCGCAGAGGAAGAAGAATGTGGCTTTCTTTGGCCACTCTTTTATCAGCCATGCAAGCTGTATCTAATCTGCTAGAAAGGACTTCTACAGCTACTTTTGCCAGCAATGCTCTTCCCTAGCTGAGAGCGAACTAAACCATCCAAGTGCTGTTTGAGTGGACCAAGTATTAAACATTTAAAAACAGGAAAATACTTGGCTGTCTTTCCTATTGCAAATAGTGCTGCTAGTCAGAGATAGAGGAAGGAAGCTAAATATTTACTGATGCTGACTGGTTTCTGAAAGGATTTAAGAAGTCTGTCTATCCATCTATACACAGGCTGATGGTGATACTACTTTGGGAAGAATGAGGACTTSCCAGTTAGCTTATTCAGGCATTAAYAACATTAACAGCAAACAGGCAAAACAGCTCACTGCCTCATCGCACTAGGCAGAAAATTGACAAACAAAATGCAATGCTGAATAGTCTAGAATTGGCAAAAGCAGCCTGAAATCATACCTCTTTTTAAGCTGTCTTTTTAAAGCAGTGATCTTCGAAGAAATTTGCAATTGTTTGTGTTATGTAGAGTAAGAGCCCACAAAGCTGCTTTCTGTAGTGTTTCTGCAGTGCTTGCTTCCCATTTCTAATCTGCTAGACTGTTGGAGAAAAGGGTATTTAAAGCAGCCCTGGGGGGCAGTCTCTTTCCTAGGATATGGTGGCTGAACAGGTAGACCAGCTTGCTGCAGAGCAATGAATGTCAGACAGGCAGTATGTGAAAACAACATGTAAGCTATCGAACATGGAAATGAAATGTCAATATTTGGGAAATTTGAAACATAAAGTTTGTATTTTGAGAGATGGAGGGGGGAAAAATCTCATGGAAGGAATCCTGGGGCCTAAATATTTTTAAACATGMTGCATCAGTATCTATTATTCTTTTAATTAAACCCTGATCCTATCAGGCTTTATGCATAWGTTTAAGTGTCATTGAAGCTGAAGGGGCTTATGCAAACTGTTCAACACCTGCCTTCCAGCATTGCCAAAATTACTCCTTGAGTTAAAGTTAAACATGTAAATAAAGGTTTTAAGATACATGTTGGAATATTTTCACTGCTTTACAGGGTTCTTTAGTGTCATGAYGAAATGTGGCATCCTGTTTGGAAGACAACACCAGTGAAACTGCTTTATTTGAAATGGCACCTTCCAAAACCCGTAGACTGTGAATGTGGATGGGAGTAAATGCAGAATTAGAAAGCTGTTGTATCTTTATTTCTTACAGAATCAAAAAATGTACTCAGTATTTAAAGGAGAAGTACATTTCTAACTTTCAGATAGTACATGACTAACCAACTGAAGTTAAAGATACCACAGCATCTTTGATATTTCAAAAAATTTCTCATTGGTATTTGTTAAACTGATATAAATATGAAACTGGTTAACAATATATAAATTATAATGATCCTTTAAGACTGCAGTGCAGCAAAGTTTGATTTAGTCTTCCCTTTATTTCTCTCACTTTTACTGATTTTGGATCTATTCTTTTGATTTGTCTGATGGAATTTTTTTTCATCTCATGTATATGTGTCATGTATTGGCTGTCCAGTACAGACAAATCGTATATAACTTTACAGCACACAAATGAGTCCCCTGCCACTTTCATGTTATGTCATCCCATTGTTATTGCTCTATATCCAGTTTTGAATTAATAGGAGGACATGCTGTGAAGACAATACAATTTTTCTGAATTGTATCTGATGTTTCACTAAGTGATTTTGCATGGTTTGTGCAATAGTGTTTTCTCAAACATTAATTGCAGGTATTTCAAGCCATATGTACTACAGAGTAGTGGCTAATCTGAAGGAAATGTGTTTGCCTTAAAGTGCAATAACATGTTTGGGTGATTACCATACAAGCAGTATTTTTTGCTTTTGAGTCTGAATATTTTTTTAAATATTTYAATCGAATGCTTCTGTGCATCAGCATGAAAAACACTACAGGGATAACAGCCATAGCAGATAGGGTAATTGCCCTGCCCTGTGGCTTGGGCAATACCAGTTCTCATTGGCAAGTTAGYTGAACTTGGGCCGTTTGTTTAGTTCCGTGTATTTCTTCTCCCTGGTAGATTATTTCCTGATCTTTTTGGTGCTGGATATTCAGCTCTTCCAAGGTCTCTGGRGTATGAGTAAGATTTGTGCCTGGTCTATAGGCTTGAATATTTCACTGGATACCTATGCAATTACTAGTTTGGGTCCTCACCTTGTGAAAGTACATGCTCACCATGATATTTTTCAGCTGAAAAGATTTTTACCAGATAAGTCTTTCAAGACTGAGAATTTTTTCTTAAAATGCTGCATTGGGAAAACAATGTTTTATAACCCTGGTGCATGATTTCCAAAACAGTATATTCATAGGACAAATGCCAGTAAGCTAGAATGTTACACAAATAAGAATACTATAAATTACATGAGGGCTATTTACATTAAAACTTCATTTTGATGAGCTATACAATAATTCATTTTTAAGTATTTTACAGTATATTCRGTAGTGAAGAGCAAGGTAATGTAGTTAAACCCCTTCTTTTATAGCTCAGAAGTTTAAAAAGAGAGATTTATGGGTTGGTCAGTCAAATTTTTGTCATGAACAATAAACCATAAAGTTATTGCAGCTGTGGTTATTTGACAGAAAAGACCATTAACTACCATAAGCTAGGGACAGTAATTGTCTAGTTGTCACAATCACTGTAAACAAATGTTTCTCAGTTAAACTCCAGTGACTAGAGGAAGTAATTTTGGAGAGTAGAAGGCATTTCTTGGTTCACACTAGTACAGCTGTATCTGTACATTTGAAGGGAAGAGATTGCATACCCCTTTCTGACCAGAGTACTTGCCCAGTACTGGATTTTGGCTCATGATGCTTTTCAAGTTGGCCAAGTTGGCCCACGAGGAACTCGCATCTGAAGTCTGTCTCCTACGTTGTTTTGAGGGCWGCAGTGAGATGCAACTGATTTATGAATCTTTTTATCTACAGAATTGCCTTTGCTTTGCTCATACCTCACTTCTGTTTGCCTCTTCCTGCGAGCTTGACTCAAGGACTTTGGTGGAAGGATTTCAGCTGTGTGATTTAAGACTACAACACTGCAAAACTTGGACACAAGTCTGAAGAGCAATGGTGCTTGTGGAACAAATTAGTTCTGTATCTATCACTGTAACTGGAAAGTCAGAGTAATATAGAGGAAGTTGGCAGAGCTGTATTGCATCTCAGCTTATTTTTATCTGGCTTATTCCTTTCAGAGTCAGATCTCCATCAGCCATTTAATGTTTTTGGCAAAACCTATTTCATTGCAATGGGTATTTTGAGAAGATATTCAATGTTAAAATATCTTTAAAGTTTTGTCTAAAGCTGAAGGGACAAAGCTGCATGGAAGGAAGGTTGTTAGCTGACATGAAAGATATTTCTGTATWGGTTCCAGTAGTAGTCAATACATTGCTTTACAGGGAATATATGAGTGCCTATTACAGTTGAAATATAAAAATTGCTTTTGTCTCCAAAATGGATATGCAAAAGTAAATAGTTTGATGTATATATAGGCTATGTTACCAGAAGTTTATTAAGTCACACTCTTTTTTTGGTTAGTGTATATCTCTCTCACTTGACATACCAGGTTTAAGTAAGTTATAAAGAAACAATCACTGTTGTGATCTGCTTAAACCTATTAGGTGATGAGAGGGGGGAAAAAAGCAGAAGTTTCTTGTTAGAAAACTTATTTATGATGTATAGTTCTGCTAAGCTRAAGAGCTACAACTTTTTCTTCAACTGAGTGTCTACAGCAATCCGACAAAATATAATTGTAAGTACTAACTACATATGCAACTTGAAAAGTCTTGAAAGAAAAATACAATCTTTTCCTATTCTGAAGAAGCTAGCCTTATAACTTTTTCTGTCCCTTGTTTTTGCTTAAATGGAGTAAGYGTAAAAAAATTGGCCATTTAATATTCTACAACTTCCCAGCACTCAAGTTTTTAAGTGAAGTGGTTGGAAATATCTACTCCCTTTTAATATCCCCCAAAACTATCTTTAGTACATGGCTCTCCTAAAGGAGGTACATTATTCAACATCATTTCTACTCAGCACGGTTTTCTCAGATTGCAGTAGTGTAGAAACACATTTTTAAGAGAACTCTTTACATTGCTGTCAAACCTAGTTTACATTTTAACAAAAACCCTCTGGGAATCTCCCTTCTTATATGGAAAAGAATGGTTGGTGCATTCCCCAGCTGTGTAATTCATAGTCTGATTTTAGACCTCCATTGTCTGCACAATGACTAGCTTACACATTTAATGTACAGGCTGTTAATCACATTCAATAACGTCTACATTTGTAACTTGACAAAAATGTGCTTCAGAGGGCAATGTTCCAGTCCAGACCATTTCTCCAGAGATAACACTGCAGTGCTTGTTACCAATATTTCCAACAAACTGAGAGCTAAATGAATTCTAAAATTCAGAAGTGTGGCTTTTGTTTCACTCTTTAGATGTAAATCTCTGTTTTGTTTTGTTTTGTTTTACCTATATGGGAAGCAAAAATAGCACCACTGAATCTGTGCCTGTGTAAAGGGAACATTTTTTAACAGTATCAAGTTTTGTTCTGTGACTATACATACATGTGTGTGCGTAGTGGGAGGAATACTAAAACTTTCCTGAACGTGTGACTGACTTAAAAGAGTGTTTGTGTACTTACATGTATCCAATTTGATCCTAGAAGTGTTTAGGCTTATGCATGTCAAGATGACTGAAACCTTCATCAGAGCTGAGTACTGGCTCCTGCTGAAGACATGCCTGGGAAGGAAAAGCCAACTGAATTCTAAGGAGACATTTTCTTGTAATGTTAGAGAGAATTGATGGTCTAGTGATCCCTCATGGTATTTTTCTTCCAAAATGAATCCTACTCTTGGCCACTGTAGCATGCCATCTTGATTTAATGTACAAAATACTTGAGCTCTTGGTTAAGTCCATAAAGCTTTTTACCTTAGGCTGAGGTTTTAAGTTTTATCTCTGTAATAAGCACCTTCACTTCATTACAAGCGAATGGGACTACCTGACTATAAATTATAGCATTTTTTCTGCTTCCTCAGGATGATGCATAGACTTCAGTTTGCTTAGCATTGCTCAATTGTAGGGATGGGATAAGAGAGAGAATAGTTGACTTGGATCTCTGATACTAATATAAAACCATCTCCTTTAGGATAAACTTCAGTCAGGATTAATCCAAATTTAAGCCCATCTTTGGCCAGCACTTCAATGTGGTTTTAAGTATAGCTATCATAAATAAAATTCCAGAAGAACAAATAATTTTGAATGACATCTCTCTGTCTGCTCCCCAGAGTTTGTTGCCCAAGCTCTGCTGAAGTATAACCTCTTTAAAACTAAAATACTTCTTTTAAAGTGATGAGTGTGCATAGGCGCAGCTGTACTTAATTAGTTCCCAAATGACACACCTTTGTGTGATTCCTGAACCCCAGCTGGGGCAAAACCTTGTGGTGCTGGCAGCTGTGGTGGAGCTCTGTCTGAAGAGTTCTCTGTGAGGACATCTGTTTGATTTACCATATTTCTACATTTACTTCTCTGAGCTATGTGTTCTGTGTCCAACTTTTTTTCTGTGTTTTATGGCTATGTCAGTCAGTCTTATAAAAAGGTRTTGGATCTTCTTAATAATGACTCCTCTCCTCTGCCCTGGACTGTTACAGCTGCAACAATATTGCTGCTATTAAAATCATAACATAAATCTCTTTCCTTTTAGGAAAGGAATGAGTGTTTACTCCCATAAATACAGAATTACTGTTTTTTGAAGAAAAAGGTAAATATGTATTAGCTTAATTAGTATGTAAATGTAAGTTTGTTTTTCACATTTTGGGGAAATTTTAATGAGTTTTGAACTAACTTATGCAAGGCAAAAATATCTTTTGCTCTTCCATAATCTGTTGCACCTTTTTGAAATGCTAATGAAGAAGCATAGCAGAGGTAAGCAGCTTAAACAGTTTCCTGAGATTTGTTTTTTAATATCCTATGAACCTGATAAAACACCAAACTGCCCCCTTATTTTACATTAAAAAAAAAAAAAAACTTTTTGAAAGATGGGATTTTTTTAATCAGCAATACATTCTTCTGCAGAAGTGAATATTAATACACTTCAAGTTTGTCTTTTCCTCGACCACTGCTAGTTGCTGTTGAAATGGCACGAACAGTAAAATCTTAGAAGATCTGTGATGTTTATGTAATGCTCACAAATGAAGTGCTTGTGCTTCACAGGAGAAGGCTTGCAAATAAATCTCCCTGTTCTGCTGCTCAGTAGTTGAATTTGAGAGGCCAGCTGAAGGTGCCAGGCTTTCATCAGGGGCTTCACTAAATACTGAGTCTTTTAGATTATCTCCTGCAACTGAAATCCCCGAGTGCCTGATGCTGGTACTTTATCCTCATTACCACCATGTTATTAATATTTCATCTCCTTGTTTTCTTTTCTTTCTTTTTTTTTTTTCCATTTCTATAGCTCTCTTTTCCTTTTAAGGTCACATCCTTTTTTACCCTACCCTTATTGTTTCTGCATTTTTTTTTAAGACTCAGTAAATCTAATGTTGTGCTCAATGCTGAAATGTCTGAGCACATGCAGATATAATTTTCTCCATCATATAACTGCATAATTGTTTCTTATCAACCTGTTAATTTGTCAATATTGCTTTTAAATGATTTAGCTAGAMTCAGACTACTTAAGAAATTAAGCTAGCTCAGCTTATGTAAGTTTAGAGGTTTCAGGTTGCAATTTAATCTTAAAGCTAAAGATCTTCTCTGGGTATTGATCAAAGATAGTACTTCTCATTGAATTTTCATATAGATACTATTTCTTTGCCTTGGCTGCATTCCCATTTTGGTCAGTAGTATGCACATAAAGAAGGAAGAGAGTGAGGCTAAGGAAAATAACTAAGGTCCTGTCTAACTAATTCATCATCATCTCAATATTTTTAATATCTGTTGGATGACCTGTAATTATGGACAGCTCTATTAAGAAGRCAACCTTAAAACATACATATACTGAGTTGAGCAGTGATATTAATAAATTTAAAGAATAATATCTGTCTGTGCTTTCTCTGTTATCCACAAACATTCCAGCATGGAGCCTAATATTTGATTTATCCTTTCAGCTTCCTACTCCTATTTTGTCTTTCGAACCTTACGTCTAGTACCCATTCATCTTGGAAAATAATTATGTCTGCTTTCTCCTTTCCTGCTGGTTGAGCACTGTGACACCAAAGCAGTGTGTGGCCTGATTAATTAGTCAGAATTAGGACAGGAGAAGAATTAGGAGAAGTAGGACAATTGGAAATACTTAAAGATGAGTAAGTGCTAGGGTCTTCAACGTTAAAGATTATATAATGGACCTTATGGAGGCATTAAATTGTAGTAAATATCTTTGATGTTTCCTTAAAGCTTCTCCTAACAGAATTTGAAGCAGCATTATTGCCCCTGAAAGTCAGAACTTAGTTTCTAAAGATCTAAAGGTCCATGGTAGAGCTTCAGGTGGTGGTGTTTTGCAGGGCCATRTAGCATCTATCTATGCTTTTCTCTGCAGTCCTCATCTCTCCTTCCTGCAGCCATTCCTCTCCCTCAGGTAGCTAATAGTCAGTTTTGTCCTCCCTTAAAGTGTGATGGGAAAGTTCAGCTTGCTGAAATGAGTTTTTTCTTCTATAATGAGCAGAAATACGTGAAGAGAATCTAACAACAAGAGTTGATCTGTAATATATTGAGTGTATGTCACCATCATGGTGAAACTTACATTAACAAAGGTTTCAAAGTATTTTCAGATGTATTGAAGATATATCAAAATTCTGCTGTAGACCACAAAATGCAATGAATTTCTCTGGCTGTAACTTAAGAGTAGCCATGTTCTCACCTTGGTTCATCAATATTAGTCATGATAATTCTCTTACYAGCAACACTTCTCTTATGCATCATCATCAGAAAGCAGGTTAGGCAATATATTTTTTTCTTGGATGAGAAGAGGGATAGCAATAAATTGTAAGACTGTTCATTCTTATGAGAATTTGTAGTGAGRAAAGCATGCATCATGTTGGGTTATTGCTTAGCTGGTGTGACTGACTGAGTGCTGTTCTTTCCTGTAAGACTGTGAAGGCTTCCCAATCTCCAGAAATAACCCACAGCATCAAACTGAGTGAGTTGGCTGGAATGCTGGCCATTAAAGACAATTTTGCATGATTAACTACTTAAATAATAATAAAAAAAAATGATGTCAAAAAGCAGTTATTTCTTCTCTCTATATTCAAAGATGCTAAGAGTCTACCAGCAACTGATGTCTTACAAACTGTTCTGTATTGTACTGACAATGTAACAGTACAGAGCAGGGACCTTAATTCAAACCAGCTAAACCACACTTCAGCTCTTTATTTCAAGCAGTTTCTTTTAATTTCTTCCCTCTCGCTTTTTGATCTCCTTATCAAAACTTGTTGGTTAAATACGATATTTTAATTGTAATATTGGGCTCTAGAAAAAAAAGATTAAAGAATACAGCTTAYGTATCATGTTTAAAAATGTACTGTGTTTTAACATGGTTTGGGTTATTAACCTCATAAGCTGTGTTTTTCTCCCGATACTTAATTTGGTATTAGTTTCAACTTAGGCACTGAATATATTTATGGACAATAAATTTTATGGACAATATGACTTAATTTTGGCGAGGAATACTCTGTGACCACAGCAGAGACATCCACTGCTCAGTYCAACTGCTATTTATGACCCTTTCCAACAGTTTCTTCTTCCTTTTCCTTTGTGTCTTTCTACCTACCCAACGCAACTAGTGCCAATACTCAGAAATAGTAAAGGAGTTGTGTTTTTTTATTAATTTATTAATTTTTGTTTAAATGAGAGTCACAGCAATGGAAGGAAGTCTGGACACCTCATCATAGCTTCAGTTTGCAGCTTGTAGACTCAGACACCTGCTGTAATCTCCTGCTGTGGTAAGTGGTRTCATCTTCCCTGATGGCATTTGGTGAGATGTTGCTTTTTTTCTGCTTGCTCTTGCCAACTCCGCAGAGGAGAGAGGCACCCAGGAGAAGCAGCCCTGAAGCATCCTGCATGGGGGGGGAGAGAGAGAGGGAGAGGCTGGATATGAGAACCAGGTGTTTCCAGTCCTACTTACTGCTTCCTACCTAGTCTCCAACAGTAAGTCTTGTGGAGGGGAGTGCTGATTTGTGAGAGTTAAGGCTGTGTAAGGCTAACTGGTGAGACTATGCCCCTTTGCTCAGCCAAGCAGGCAGCCCACGTGGCCCAGCTCTCGCTTTGTGGGGTGCTGGTGTGGTGGAAAGGAGCGTATCAGAGCCAGGCTTCTTCCCAGTCAGTCCCATAAATATTCCTGATTTGGTCCTTGTCCTTCTGTAAACGAAGTTCTGTTGTTGCTCATGTAATATGATGCTTTCTCCCTCCAGGACTTGTGCAAGCTTCTTTGCTCATTTAGTGTGGAATGAATGTAATGTGCCCAGTTGGTGAAGGACGAGCCTCCCTATCTATGACTTGTCCCAGGATTAACAGTGTTAGGGAGCAACACCTAGCTGGTCATATATAAATTAAGAGGCCCCTAARTCAAGCCCTGGTGCAGCCCCTGCAAAAGTAGAGATCTTTCCGTAAGAGGTGGAAGTGTCATGGGTATCTCATGGATTCTGTGCCAATCTTCTGAAAAAGGCATCACGGGAAATGTATGTGGCTAGTAAGAGTAAATGTTCAGCCACAACCTTTATGAATCTGTTTAATTAGCATTACTGGAAAGGAAGCTATAAATGCACTGTAGAAGGGTACGTGTATATATGTTATCACAAGTGTTTTTTGTGAAGTTTTAATTGGTTTCCTTTTAGTAGAGACAACACTAACCTCAGCACTGTTATGAATAGCATAATTCAACAGGGCATGTGATATTCATGAGGAGCAGATAAAAACAGGTTTAATAGTTTCAGTCTTTGGCAGTATATTTTACTCCAGGAACTGCACAGAAYTTAAGCTGTTTGTGTTGAACTTGAACAAAGCTAAACAGAAGAAAAGAGAGATCATGCTGGTTTTCACAGCCTGTCAGAAGAATGTTTTTGGAAACTTACAAAAGGATGAAATATTCCCATCCACAGAATATGCTCTGCAGGGTGAGCAACCTCCATTTGTGGGGGGTTCCTCTGAGACTGCTTAGAGCAAAAGGATATCTCTCTTCTTGAAGAGTTGAGCAGTTATGAGGTACTGAATTCCAGCTACTCTATAGCAAATGCTCCTTTTATTAATTATTAAAAGATCTAATTAGAAGAAACTGCAATTTCAGACATGAGGCTAACTATGAACATACAAACAGGTTTTCTGGCACCTCCTGCAACCTAAATTCCGTACAAACTTTTACAAGCCTCTTTCCAATATCTTTTCYGTATTACATGAATTTTCAGAGGCAATGCTTCTGATAATAGTGTTGCATTTTTACCATTTTTTTTAAGTGCACTGTACTGAGCCAAGCTAGCTGCTAGTAAAGCAGAGAGAATAACAATTTGAGAAGGCATAAGGCATAACCAGCCTGTAACCTGGAGGGTGCCTTAGGAAAAAGTTTTGCCTTACAAAAGTAAAAGTGTTACAGAGGGTGAACATGTGAGAGAAATATTCTGAGCAATCAGAAGAGAATTAGTAGCTGAGCAAATAAGCTCATGTTCTTTTGAAGCACCTCTACTTCGATAGCAGGATGTGGTCCATCCAGCTTCCCAGGGAAAGCAAAAGACCAAGCAGCTCTTCTTCCTTCATTCCTTGCTTCATATGAAGTCCCTGGSTCTGCTCTCTACATCAATACATCTCTGAATTGACTTTCTTTTTGAAAGTACTTAGGAGATAAAGAGCAGRCTCAGTCTTGATCTTTTCTTATGCCTCACAGTGGCATCCTGGACAGTCTTCCTCATCCCTTGTCAAAGCAGATGAAGTCATGAACCACAGCAAAAACTCAGGTGAAATGTTTCTAACAATGAAAAAAATGAACTAGCAGACAAATACAATCTTTAGTCAAGTTCTGATAAAGAAATATTTTGAGCTTGTTGGACATCACATCTTCCATGAACTATTAAAGTCACTTGAAATTAATCTTTTCAGTATTGGCTGGCAGCTGAGAAGCTTCTATAAAGATGATTTAATAAATGAGGGGAAATCTTGCAACAGAACATATAATAGCGTTATAATTTGTACAAGAACATTAATCAGGAAATTACTACTAAATGCTATAAAAAAGGAATCTAATGGGAGAAAATATCTGAGAGCCTTTTCTTACAGTCTGTTCTCTATTTCAGCTCCTGATGTAACAATGAACTCTAGTGTGCACAGTCAAGGTCATTCAGTCAAACTTGAGCCAGCAGCCATTTATTCCAAAAATTCTATTTCTCCTCAGGTCTGACTGAATTCCTGAAAGATTTTCCCCTCATTGTTTAAAAGAAACTGTGTGAGGTCTAGGAGTTGTCTCCTATTGTTTTTTTTATTGTCATCTTTATAATTTCTTGTGTTCTGTTCTCATTGCCCTGACATATTTCATCAGCTGCCATATATTCTATGTGCAAGTTTTCCATGACACTGAAAGACAAAAGTTGTAGATAAATATTTTTCTGTAGTTTTTTGTGTTTCCTGCATTTTCACTGTTTTATGCATCTTCAAAATGAATCGCTTTTGGCTTGCATTGTGTGCTCCAAACTTGTTCTTATTCTGAATCTTTCTCAAGTCAAGAAAACTGGCTGGAAGGCAGAATGTGTTTTGTTTCTTGTGCATCTCCACACCATTGGGGTCTTAGAGTACTTTGAGGTCTAATGTTTGGCGGTACTTTGGAAAGTTCATCATCATCACTTGATATAGAAATAAAACATACCTTATTACATTGTATATAAATTCAGAAAACTTCCCCTAACTGTGAAAAGGGGAATGAGATGTGACATGAACCCCAGCCTATATCCTGTCCTCTGGGGACTGGTTTCCTGGTTCACTGTGTCTGTGAGTTGACCAAAGCAAGTATTTTGTGCAAATGGCAAATAGTAATTGCATGGGAAAGGGCTGCTGTGGGCATAAAGAGCACTCCCTAGGCCTGCCTGTGTAAGCAAGCACTGGCTTAAATGAGAGAGATTTCTGAGTGTCTTGAGATACTTGGGTCAAAAGATTTAATCCTCATTCTTCCAATGAATGAGCTGCACTAGAATAATTCTGTTCTCTTAGCAAAATACTTTTTTTTTTCTTTGCTAGTTGCTATGATTATCTATAGTCAGCCAATTGTTATGAATAGCTCTGTTGGAGGTATATTAAAATGATATTTTGATGTGGAGTTTGGAATCCTCAGGACACATCTTTTTTCTTTTTTCTTTTTTCTTTTTTTTTCTTTTCTTTTTTCAGATTTAATCGGATTAGCCGGATTTCTATCCAGAACTTCAATAGACCATCTTCTGTTTCATTTTTCAATTTCTCTTGAAAATGTCTGTGCAACTAAAGAATCTTCCGAGTCGATGCGATTTGGTACAACTACACTCAAAATGGCTAATTTAYAAGTCTTCCCATTTCTAAAATTAACTACACCTGCTCTTATGCAGGAAAGTAAGCACCATTAAATCATGAAATTGGTTATGATAAAACCAAAGAAAGTGAGAGTGAAAATGTAAACACAATGACAACTTGATATTGCCAAAATTAAAACTTACATTACACCAACTGATAGCTAGCTGGAAGTCAGAAATATGATACAGTAAAATAAACAGTTTGAAGACTGATCTTTAGCTATCTGGCAGAGCATGAATTAAAGCAAACTTCAAACAACATCAACATTAGCTTAGTTCTCCTCTTATGCTCTCTTTCATTCCCTGCCTTTAAACATGTGTTTTTAGCTGAATTACAGGACTTTCAGCTGGTAGCTAGTGGACCGTTTTCACATGGCCTCAGTTGCCCAGATGTGTGGTAGCACAGTATTTTTCCAAGAAATTCCCCAAGTCACTTGGAAAGGGAGGGGGATTTCTGCCATATTTTGGAGTATCCATGAGATGTCTGAGTTGCTCAGTTTTGTTTCTGTATGTCAATTTATAGAAAGCCAAAGACATTCAGTTCTTTGAATTTCAGGTTTGTCTTGAAGCTTTAATTATTACATATCACCTACAAGAAAGCCTTTTGTTTTTATTGCACAGAGCTGCATGCCAAGCAAAATTGAGTTGTGTTTGGATTTAATATTAGAGCAAGGGCAGATAATACAGAAAATAAAAAACACTCCCCTGCTGTGCAAGATATACTTATATGGCTCTGTTCGCTTGAAAATCTGTTCTCGTTGATCTTAGTCTGAYTCTCTGCAGGGTTTTCTTGGTCAAGGAGGCTAAAATTGATTCGAGGCCCAAAGCTGTTCAGCACAGTGTTGACAAAACCTAGAATCCAATGTTCTTGTGTCAACATGCTCTGACTTTCTTGGATCTTCAAACCACATTTTGCCGTATGACCAAAAATGGAAGGTGGATCACAATGAGAAACATATGGCAGAGAATGGAATTTCAAGCTAGAGGAGCAGAAAGGAGGAGGAGGATGAAGACTGAGAGGAAAAGAGCAGAGGAACATAGAGAAAGAAAAAAGAAACTGAATTCAGGCTCTGCTTTTAGGAAGACAAACATTCAACTCTTCTGGTGACCTTACATGGGAACCCTGGTGGAGCTTTATTTTTATGACTTCTCCCTCTCGCATTTATTTCCTTTCACTGTTATTTCTGTAATATGCTTGGCATTAGATTTAGAGATAAGCTGGAGGGCTACGCGTTTTGAATTATTTACTGTCTTTCAAAGGTGTTCTACAATGGTGAGAGTTATATTTGAAATCATGTATAAAGACAAAAGCAGCTTTTAAAATTGAGAAGTTTGACTGCAGCACTGTGGTTCAAGGCTATTTAGAGATGTTTGAAACAAACTTGTCTAGTTCATAGTTACAGTGACCAGAGGGCAATGTTGCTATTCCATGGCAACTTGCGAGGTCTGAAAATTTGGTTTTGCTCAAACATGGAATTATATACTGGGAATTTTAAAATTCTAATTTTCATTCTGGGGCAAAGTCTTTTTGTGTTCTTTCTGCAAAATGTCTATGTATTTTACACAAGAGAGGCAACTGGTTCTGAGCTGTGGTCCTCAAGGGTCAGTGCAGGAAAGGTGGGCAGGATGTGTGACAGCACTTGCACACACATGTATCTGAGCAGGAGACGAGCATTGCTCGGAGACTGTGCTGGCTCCCTGGGCAACTCCTAGCCTTTAAGATTGCCCACTGAGCACAGTTATTCTTTCTTGCCTATGCTGCTTCTTTCCAGTAAAGCAAAATTGCATCTGCTTTGGCATCTCTTCMTTTTGCTGGCAGTGCCACAGTTGCCTGATCCACAGTCCACTGCAAACACAAGGCGTCTTTCTATTAATATCAGTGGCTAAAATTTAAATGTGATCATTAGGAAAGCACTTGGGTTTAAGTATAATGTTAGCTGATGTAAATACAGGAAGAATATYGCTCAAGTTATTATCTTAATAGGATTATTAATGTCTTATCTAGCAGTTACAAATTATAACTTGCAACTCYGATGTATATGTCTGATGTATATAATGTCCCCCCGATAATATTCAAAGAGGTATTAAGTAAATGTAAGTGGGTGCTTATCTTTGTGTACATATACATAYATATAAATYTATCCTTTTCCTTTGCATAATATTTGTCAAATTTGTCACCAGCATTCATGATTTTGCAACACCATTTTTTCAAAGGAGCARTTTTTTACACAGGACCTTCGTATTGCTGTTAAACTAGTGAGTCCTTTATTGCTACTCTCTTAAACTAGATTTCATAAGCCTATGTCTCCATTTATTCCTTTCAGGAATCAGCAAAATGAAAGCTGAAAATTATTCCTGTCTACTTCATTTTGTGTTGAAACTGCATTTTTGCCAGAAACAATTCTGCTTGAAATATTCAGAGTGCAGGGCCATTCCCAATATGGAAACCTCGGGGAAAACTCTTTGTGCTTAGAGAGGCTGGGTCATGCTGGCAAAAAATCAGGAGCAGCTGCAAAAATTGCTAATGCATACTGGGGCAACGCTTCATAAAGTTTGAAATCAAATATATCAGTTCAAACTGTGAAAGGTGGAGGAAGATAATTAATGAGGTCCCTTAAAGGGACCTCATTAAAGTCATTTTGTCCCACTGAACACATGCAGTCCYTGAGGATGTTGCAGGGATCCTCGGCCAGCTGGGCAGAGCCTGGGCTTATTGCTTGGCCGGTATCCCCTGTATTTCCCTGTCTGCYTGGCCCAGGGCTGCTATCAAAGGGCTGGAGATGCAAAAGCAGTTATAGGGCTGCCCTCCATGCTGAAAAGTAGAAATCTGCCTGTGTCATGGTCACAGCTGCTGGTTGGAGAAGGTGGTGAGCAGAGGGATGGAGGCTGCACAAGGGCAGCAGGGCACACGGGATCACTTTCCTCTCTGGTCTGAGCAGTCTCAAGGTGTTTGGTTACAGAACAAGGGTGCCAAATCATCAGAGGGAACAGACTGTGATGAGAGCCATAAATCTATTTAGATTAACTGAAATTTTCCCCATTTGGCTCCAAGTTGAAGACCTAAATATTTTTTCTTGCAACTAATCTGTTTTGACTCTATGAAAAACATTTTCATTGCAATAAAGTTATTAAAGTCTTAGCACTTACTGTTTTGTAGTTAATATGGGGATGTTTTTTAYCCCTGCCCACTAGTTTCTTTGCAATAAATTTCTTTGCACAGGTCAGCTCCTCACTCTACTTCCCTTATTACTTCATTTAAGAGAACAATTCGTTTTAAACCCCAAACCAAACATAGGATTGAAGAGTAGAGGTTAAGAAATTGAATAAAAAGAAAACAGCCCTTCACCTTTCATTATGCTTAAGTATTAGCTTTATTAAAGTTACTCAGTGTTTAGATATGGTTTATTAAAACCCATCTATGTTTACCTTTTGTGTTATTTTTAAATCAGTCTGTACTTTATAATATTTAATTACTGTCCAAAACAGATGAGCATTTGCTTTTCAAAAAGAAATAATAAATGTAGGATGCTTTAAGATACCCAGTTGTATAAAGTGGTTAACTTACCATACTTTGACCAGTATCATATCAAGTCAATTTTATAAATCCAGATATTAAGCGAGTTTATTCCATTTAGCATGGCTATTCATGGAAAAAATGTTCTGTGTCCCTATTAGAAACCTTAGCCCTTATTCACATTTGCCATGCTCCCTCTCCCCATAAAGCCTCTTTAGGYTGTCAGGATCATGCAAAGACACATCTGTCAGGGGCAACTTTATTTTCTCWTCTACCTCTGAAATCTCAGCTGACATATCAAGGATCACTTAATCTGCTCAATTATCACCACTCAGTGCCTTGCAGTGARATCAATGGGAACTTTGTTATCGATTTAAATTGGAGCAGAGTTGGCATTTGGTGCATTCAGAAGCATGGCTCAGCAGCAGTTGCTCTATTTAAAATGTTACCTCATGGGCATCATTCCCATGATGTTCGGGGGAGAGCTGCCAGAATAAGGAGTGTAATTTTGGCTCTCAAGTATCATTAGGCCTGAAGCAGATTAGTTGTAGTCTGTTCACTGTATTGTCACTTCTAATAAGACTGGGCTATGAATCCTCTGTATCTCCCATTTAGTATTGTTTCCTCTTTTTCTTTGTATGACACATTTRGAAAGCTGTACATTTGCAAAAAGGCAGAATGTTTCTATTCAGCCAAGAATGTCCTACTTTATATGGCTCTCAATTTAGAAGATAAGTTAATGTATGATCATAGCAGCTATATATGATGTTTGATCACCACCTCTGAGCTCTGACTAGTCAGCATAATGTCCCATTCCAACACCTAGGGGACATGTGTGGGCTGTACAAGCTGTTATATAAAAGCATGACTGTTTGACTTGCCCAGGTCCTGCATGATCCTCAGACCATGCTCTTCCTTATGGGACAGTTTACAATCCCTGTGCTTTCATTTTCCACAACATATTCAGCATAAGCTATCATTGGCTATGTCCAGCCACTCAAGTTCACTGGCCTTTGGGACAAATTCCCCCAAATCAGTGAGAGTTAGTGAAATTAGTTAACAAAGACTATTTTCTAGTCAACACATTAAATTTATGGATTCTTTTGAGCTTTCTTGTATTTAGCCTGTTTTTCCAATAAAAGGTTTCTGATGRAAAAAAAATCAACAAACTCTAAAAGCTCTATGTGACATTCTTCAATTGAGTTGAAATGTCACATGCATACACACATATGTATGTGTATGTATAAAARGACTTAAAACTCTTGGTCATTAACTTCCTATGGCATGAGCTTTTTGGTTGTTTTGTCTTGGTATGTAACTCACTTCTTACATATTCTACATAAGCTTAGGAATAAATGCCTGATGTTCCCACAATAAATATTAATTGAAAAAAGCAGCAATTTTAAAAGCATTGACTTTAAGCTATAATGACGTCATTTGATTTACATTCTACTGGAGTTTATTCTGTTGCATCAGTTGCATTCTACTTTTTTTCCTTGCATGGAAAACCATTTTCATGTGTTCCTGCTATTAACAGTGTGCTCCAAAATATATCAGTATTTTAAATAGGAACATATGTTGTCCAAGAGACTGCATTATCTTTCCTGAGACATTTCACCTGTTCCCTRTGTTATTCTGAAATTCATGGAAATAATTTACAACTGCTGTTTTTATGAAACAGAGAGAGAACCTCATTTTAAGAAAGATAAACACTGCTGTCAAGCTTACGCAAATAGGACAATGGATGACTTTCCTCTTTACACACAAGGTGAAATACAGATGGACCATTCCCAGAAAACACTACTCTGATCTAAACTGTGAACAAGAGATCAGCATTCCTTTTCTTAAACACTGCACTAAAAAGAAAACTTTTATGTTCTTCCAGTCACAATTTTAA